GTCTTAAATTTAAGCTTACATCCATGTCATTTTCAAGTGGGGTGCAAACTTTAGAAATTAAGTTAATCCGTTAATCGAAGAAAACACATTTAATTGGGTCTAGAAAGGATGGACACAGGTGACCTTTTGTTGTTCTAAAATGCAATGCTGAGGATTAAGATATTACATGGAAAACTATCAAAAGATCCCATTGAAAATCAAAGTCATATGTCGGGTTATGGGTGAACATTTTTGATTTTTTGCAGGTAAACGTTGTTTGCAAATTAACGCAAAGGTTGCCTATCCAATCTTATAGAAGATTTTTAGAATGACTATCCATTGCAGAAGGATAGCTGTTATGTATAAACAAGGTCTGGTAGGCACATTTTGCCTCCGTCACTTTAGCAACTTTATCTCAATAGAGTTTAAGCACACTTCATACACTAGTAAATATAAGATTAATTCGAACCAGTCTTTCAAGGTGTAACCTTCAACAAGGCCGCCAGTTAGTATTCCTTATATGATATTAACAAAATGTTGTGTACGAAGAGCCGACAGGTGTATTATTTACGAATCCTTTCATTCAATTAACATCCTTACCTTCATTTGCACGGGCAGTTTCACCCAATCTCCATCTCTTCAGAGATGAGCAGAGTCCTTAATGTGTGCCTGCATTTGTTTGCCATAGCCGGCATGCATTTTCCCAGTTCATTTTTGCCGACTGGTTGTGAATTATACCACGGGACCACCAGAGGGGTTTTCGAGAGTAGACCAATCGCGTTGGGGTAGTGCCCTAACATTTCTTGGGTTGGCACCTGGTCTGGTTTTGGTTTGGCGTCCATTGTATTGCAAATTATTGTCATTTCCCGAGTCTAGCACACGACCACATCACCCTATTTCATTTCGTGATGTTCTGTAACGCCCCGCATTCAAAAATGTATGGTGTTGTTGGCCCAGACGGTTCGTAATAGGAATTCAGGATTGCCATTACCCAACTGCTTTGTTTCGTACAATTTGTTGATGTCTTCAGAAAAAGGATCAGCTTTATTTTCAAAATTTCCCTCCCCACCCCTTTTCATTTTTTTCGTATTGTTTGGATGACGTCTGTCACTTTTTGAAATGCCTTACTTGTCGAAATTGGAAAGCCGTAATCATTACATTACAGGTGCCTGTCAACACTGCATGAAATTCACCTAATAATACTGGGTTCTAGATCTTTTCCATCCTTTCCTTTAACATTCATGAAAAATATGCAAAGAAGTTTGCATAGTTCCTGAAGTGGTGTTTGTATGATTGGCCGTGACTCCTTAAGGTTTTGGTAGATACATTCTGACAGTTTGTTTATGTTAGATTCTGTGTTTTTTCTGTGTGTTCCTGTCCTGTTCATCTCTAATGAATTTATCTATATCAATGTTGATAAGTTCGTCATCGGAATGTGGTAGATTGTTTGGCGTTTTTGATGGGGAAACAAGCAGAATGGGGCATTCTTCTTGCCGATAAGAGACGTAACCTAACGTTATTATGGTCTGGGGGAGGGTCTAGGAGGGTCTGGGGAGGGACATTGCCGATGGGATGACCCGCCCGGGGATTATATCAAATATGTACCTGGCCTCGGTGACCATCTTACCGCTGTGCTCCAGTGAAACTGTTTCCTTAAGAAAAAAAAATCAAATTATGTTATTGATGTTAATATTTAAATAACATTTCCTGTGAGAAACTTTACAAAAAATGTTTTGCAATAAAATGTTCACTACACATAACAAGTAAAGCGGATGTTGTTACAATTTTGTATGTTTGATTTTAAGCCATTAAACTCATTTTGTATCTCCATCTACACAATTAGTACTAATCTTCACCATTTAAAGAGAGAAGTAAAGTTAAAGTGACGGCAGACCGCGACTATATATGTATGACCCAGTGATCCAAGAGAGACAACTCGAACACACTCAAAAGAAATTATCAGACAAACCTTCAACTGGCTAGTTTAAGAATGTTCTTATATCATAAATTCTATGATTTAAGGAAATCCATACTTTTTTTATAAGCTTTAACATGAGCTGTTGCCTGTTCTCAATAAATATCTAACCTATGTTAGTCAGGTTTCTACCAGAATAAGACGTTGTTTTAACAACACAAAACTTTAGTTGAAATAATGTAGAACAACTAATTATAAGAGAAATTTTAGTGAGTTTTCTGTGAGCATTTTATGGAACAATTTCGAAAGCTCACTGCATATTTTACCTAGTCTAGAGTCTTTAAAGAAGGCTAGCCTGCTGATGCTTTTATGGATGTGAGCAGTTTGGAGCTCATCCATATTTTGTCCTTATCCGAGTCCTTTTAGAAGGAATGCCTGCAGTAACTGTTTTAGATGTAACGAATAGATTAACTTGTTGGGATCTGCACATGTGGTACTGTTAGTATTGATCTATACTGTATATGTCATTCTATGTATCATGTCTATGACCATTGTAAATTGTTATTACAGGACCATATTGTAAATTAGATTTAAATCGAAATACAAGATATTTTTATTTAACGTCGCATATTTAAAACAATGAACAAAAGCACTGTAGTGCTATTTTTGCGACAAAAAAATGATACAAAGGGGAAATAGCATGGATAAACAGCATACAGGTAAATTCAAAGCAAAGTAAGAAATAGCAAGCAAAAGTAAAAGCAATAAAGGTACAAAAGCAAATCAATTGAAAGTTAAATTTATAAACTGGAGGTAAACAATGCAAACTAGTATGTAACACAAGTATTACTAGCTGAGGGTTAAAGCGCTTTGACAGTGTAATTTGCATACATGCTAATAAAGCAAAATGTTGACCGGATATACACTAATATAGTGTGATTTAATTATAGGGACATTTATGCCAATTTTAGCTATAACATTTTTTTGGGGGAACTGGAAGCAATTAATTTAAAATATGCTTCGTGAGATAATAATCATTAATAAAACATTAAGGACATACAAGCTTACAAGTCATACATGATAGTAAAACAGATATAGCAAGTTACAGTAAAAGGGGGAAAACTCCATTATATGTGATAACATTACATCCCTTTATAGTTCAAGATGAAAGGTAAGGAGTATACTAGGAAGGAAAGATGAAGGGTTTGGGTTTGTATTGGCAAACTAAAGTTAAATGGAGGATGGAGTTTGCAGTAGCGAGAAGACAGGAGTGTGTAGTGGCAGAAAGAAGCCCGAACAAGCAAGTTATTACAAATACGTAACCCTGTATAAATAACAGATTTGATTATCATTATTATTTATTAATATCAACACAGTTTCTTTGTTTGCACTTTCGTATTATTTTTCATTTTCCTGACCTTAAATATATATCATGAATAAAAAATACGATTTAATTGATTTATCTATTACACAATATATGATTTGTGTGTGTGTTGTCTAATATAGATTAATTGGTTGGTATTTGTCAATTAAAATAACATAAAAAGGATATTCAAAGGCAAACCAATTTTTGACAAATAGTATTCTATGACTTAAAGATGACGATTTCTGTCTTCGCAGAACAAAGAAATCGGCGATGACGTGTTGCCTGCAGAGTGCGACAACACTGACCAGTAAAGAAGGGGCCTTCAGGGTGCGGCAACACTGACCAGTACGGAAAGGACCTTCAGGGTGCGACAACACTGACCAGTAAAAAAGGGGCCTGCAGAATGCATCAACAGTGACCAGTAAGGAAAGGGCTCCAAAGTGCGACAACACTGACCAGTTAGGAAAGGGCATGGAGAGTGTGACAACGCTGACCATCAAGTAAAAGGCGTGCAGAGTGAGACAACACTGACCAGTAAGGAAGGGCCTGCACAGTGCGACAACACTGACCAGTAAGGAAAGGTCCTGCAGAGTGCAACAACACTGACGAGTAAAGAAAGGGCCTGGAGAGTGCGACAACACTGACCAGCAATTAAAATGCCTGGAGAGTGCGACAACACTGACCAGTCTGGAAGGGGCCTGCATAGTGCGACAACACTGACCAGTAAGGAAGGGGCCTGCAGTGTGCGACAACACTGACCAGTAAGGAAGGGGCATGCAGAGTGCGACAACAATGACAAGTTAGGAAAGGGGTTGCAGAGTGCGAAAACTCTTACCGGGAAGACGGGCTCTGCAGTGTACGACGACACTGATCGTTAAGGAAAGTGCATGGAGAGTGCGACAACACTGACCAGCAAGTAAAAGGCCTGCAGAGTGCGACAACACTGACGAGTAAAGAAAGGGCCTGGAGAGTGCGACAACACTGACCAGCAAGTAAAAGGCCTGGAGAGTGCGACAACACTGACCAGTAAGGAAGGGGCCTGCATAGTGCGACAACACTGACAAGTTAGGAAAGGGCCTGGAGAGTGCGGCAACACTGACCAGCAAGTGAAAGGCCTGCAGAGTGCGACTACACTGGCCAGTAGGTAAAGGACATTCAGAGTGCGACTACACTGGCCAGTAAGTAAAGGACATTCAGAGTGCGACAACACTGACCAGTAAGTAAAAGGCCTTCAGAGTGCGACAACACTGACGAGTAAAGAAAGGGCCTGGAGAGTGCGACAACACTGATCAGCAAGTAAAAGGTCTGGAGAGTGCGACTACACTGACCAGTAAGGAAGGGGCCTGCAGAGTGCGACAACACTGACAAGTTAGGAAAGGGCCTGGAGATTGCGACAACACTGACCAGCAAGTGAAAGGCCTGCAGAGTGCGACTACACTGGCCAGTAAGTAAAGGACATTCAGAGTGCGACAACACTGACCAGTAAGGAGAGGCTTTATGGAGTAAAAGAAGAATATCCATTAGAAGCGGTGTCGCAGACTTCTAACAACAAGGAAAAGCTCTTTGGACTGCTTGCATTCTAGCTCGTCTGGATGGGCAATTAGGAGCGCGTGTTATACACGAGCAGTTTTAGCACCATACACTATGTAGGTAAGGTGAGAGGATTCCTGTTACATTTGTTATATTTGTAAAAAAATATCCGAGGAAAAATATTAAAAACAAATAAGTAGATAAATTTTATTGTAATGTAAACATTTTTGTTATGCATTAATACAATATTCTAGAATATATATAAAAATCATATACTTGCGGTTGATGAAAGGGAAATCATTTGTGATTGATATTTTGTAACGTACAATGTGATTGACTATTAAAACATATTTAATTTATGTTAGCTACATGGCTCTTTAATGAAAAGATATGCAGTGAACTGGTATCAGCAATCACAGTATTTGGGGAAAATACACGTTTAGCCTCATAAACAAGCAAAAACAAGATGGCTATGAGAGGACCACGGTTTGTTTCAAGGGGAGTTCCTAAAGTCTTCGGAAAGATTTGGCTACAAACAAATAAACTGTGAACCAGGAGCTCAATTATTTCCATGGTTATTTATTTCATACCTGTCTTTGTCATGTTTTTCACAAAGTATGCGTATATACGCTCTTGGAAAAGACAGCTGTACCAAGAGGAAATATCAAGTGTTCTGATTATGAAACATTTTTGTAAGGAAGGATAAAAATTAAAACGATCTATAAATCTAGCATCAAATTCTACCTCTATGATATTTTACGACTCAGTGTTACATAGTTGTAGATTTTCTACATCCAGATAAGATATTTGACAATCAATTTCTTATTAAATGTGCTAACATGTTCTTAAAATGTGTCAAACTGTTCATAAAATGTGACAAACTGTTCATATCTTTTCAATTGAATTCAAATTTTCATTGACATATACATTGTATGTTCTATGTTAAAATTTATGTTATACATTGTACATCTAATAGCATATTTCCTTAAATGGATAAACAGACAATACGTTATAAGTATAACTAAAGGTATACGTTATGATAGTACAAGGTACTGCTGGCTGAAGTAACCCGTCAAGACAGTAGCCAACACTAAACAAACTGTAAAGGTACTGCTGGCTGAAGTAACCCGTCAAGACAATAGCCAACACTAAACAAACTCGTGGACATCCGGCTTATTTACAATATGCATATAACATGTGGAATTTAACTGGGCTTCTGATTGATAACTTCTGTATTTGTGATTGTGTTAATATTACGCTTCAGGTAGTAATAAAATCTACCAGATGAGTACGTGCATTTGGTATTGAACATGATACATGTGTACGAATATATCTTAAACTTTTCATATTATTTTGCGTAATTATTATAGATATAAAATTAATGAAACAATTTAATTGTGTTTGTACAAGAATGTATAATAAAGGAAGCATATGTCATGATGGTCATTCGATGAAGAAATTTAGGAATATGTTTTGGTTTGTTTGGGGTTAATTGAAAAGGGGAAATAAGGGAGACAATACTGAAAAGATAACGAAGGAAATCGAGAAAGAGAATATATCCCAAGGGTTGCAATGGGGGTAGCAGATCATTTGTTTTATGTCTCAAAATAAGGTAACAAACAAGAGAATACCCGATTAAAGAAAAAATGTATATGCCATTCTATACTGCTTAGTACTAGTCAGTATGATGCTGGGAAGTGGTTAATGCAACAATTCGTGTTTGGTTAAAAAATAATACCATTACACCTTCCAATGGTTATGATTACAAAATATCAACTTGTAAACACAAGTAAGTAGCCATTGCATGTATTACACATTACGATAATGGCTCAAACAATCAGTTATAAGACAAATCATAAAACATTTATATAAACTGTATATCACTTATTTAAACATCTTAATAAAATCCTATGATCTGAGACACTAGGATATAAAATGCTAAATAATTTAGCATACAATTTGCTGTTTTTGATGTAGATTGATACATGTAGGCCATATATCTGACCTTAATTAAGGTGTCTCGTTTTGGGGCAAATTAAAATATACACAGATAAAGCTTAAAATAACACGAAAGTTTTCTAGGATAGGGAGGATAGTGCTATTGATATACATGTAGCAATGTTCAAATGGGAGATAACTCCAATAGTTCTGTGTCATCTGTAACAAATGCCATACAACTACATATGTACCATAACACTGTCTGTAGGGTACCAACATTCGATATAAGAGGAACGACAAACCATTCATGATATAATTAAAGGGAGGTCAAAGGATCGTCATTGTTTATGTGCTCGTAATCGTTATCAGCATCGTACACAACTTTGTTGTTAGGTTTTTGGAATAACTGATCATAGTCGTCAACATTTTCTGCTGGGGTTGTCTCCCTTGTTGTGCTCTGTTGTGAACTACCAGCACCTCTAGCGTGAGAGTAGTCTTCTTGGGTGGTTTCATCTTGTTCATTATTTATATCGCTGTTTAATGTGTTGTAGGTATCATCATTGGGAGTTCCTTCTTTGGTGCTGATTTCTGTTCCTTTTTGAAGCAAAATATTATCGTCGGTTGGCACACTTTCGTTGTTTTTTTCATTTCTTTGTTCTTCTACAATAAAATAAGTATCTGCTTTGTTTGCGTTAACAATTCCGCTGTCAGTACTAATGTCTGTAAGGTCTGATAGGACTCGATCTTCATCCTAGAACGAAATAGTTTCCTGTCTGGTTCAAATCCTCAGTCGGCCTCGTGGAAGACATTTCTTCTTGTTTTTCTAGGACAAAATAGTCAGCTGACGGAACAGGGAAATCAACAGGGCTGGCCAGATCTTGTGAACGTTGTGAAAGGTCGTTAGTTTGAGAATAACCTTCGTCCACATTCGGTTCATACTCGTCTATGCTGTTGTAGATACCATCAGTTGCTTCAGTGCCACTTTGTTGTTGTTGTGTAGTTTGGTCAGATTTTACAATTGCTGTATCGTCGAGGTCCATGTATAATCCCGATTGCCGATCTTTTGTATTCGAACATTCGTTCTCTAAGCGTTCATGATGCTTTTGGCTTCCCATGGATGACTACAAACAATAATTTAAACTCTCATAAAATGCCTTTTTTTTGCAATGAACCATACGTTTTCGAACCACTTTTAGTATATTTCTATATCGCATATATATGTTAGTATAATCTGTACGATTAGTATTGAATGGTCTATTCTACATTTCCAATTATGATTGTAGTGCTAATCATAATACATCCTACGTGAATGAATAAGCTAGTGTTATTAGATGACACATCGATACTAACGTTACAAAAATATCACAAGTATATGTATATTCGAATGATGTCACCTTCACTAGCTAATGCGATATTATACCTACTTCATATGTAGTACTTCCGACTTCTGATACATTCATATCCATATAGACATTGGTACAGGTCGGTTTTCTAAATAGATCAATGAATATATAAATAAATATATATATATATATCAATTATTCAAACAGTCAATCAATAAATCAGTCAATCAGTCAACAAATTAATTAATTTGTCAGTAAATCAATCAATCAATCAGATAATAATAATGACACCAGTATTTGTCACAACATATTTCACAGAGATAAACAGTCATCATAAAACAATTACGTTTCACAAAATATGTCAGAAAGCCCAAAAATACTTGCTTGTTCTTAAATACAATAACGACGTTTCTAGATTTATTCACTGGTTTTGTTTAATTCACTTGAATACCCAAGCTAACAATTTCAAGTTTTTATTTTTCACTTTGAAAAGCATTCTTATCTCAAATATTAAGCAAAACATGAGTGTTCTAGTACCTGTACAGTACACAACACAGAATTGTGATGTAACTCATCTAAGTATCATAGAATACCCCTTTGTTAAAACTTCACTCATAACATTTAAATTCATGAATAATAAAACCATATATGCAAACCTTGGATATTTTAATGAAGACAAAAAAGTTAAATCTTCACCGTGGTAAAAAAAATATTGTATGAAGATTTTGCTATTGGCTTAAGAGTTATAAAAAGAGTATTGTTACCTTCCACGTTTTCGACGACGGAATATAAACACCAGGACAAGAGTGACTAGCAGTGCTAGGATGGCCAATCCTGCTACAACCCCAAGGGCAATAACTACGGAGTCTCCATTTCCTTGAGATGCGGTTTGATGATTTTTGTCAAAAGGAACAAAGGTGGTGCTTTTCGTAGATGTTGTGGGCGCAGTTGTGGATACAGCGTCTCTAGTGATGCTGTAAAATAAACGTCCACTCATAATAGTCCAACTAATGACTGTATTTGGAAGTCATATATTAAAATATGGCACCGCACGTGCTATACATGAATATCGAGTAAGAAATATCTGGCTGCGCAAATTTAGGATAATGTTCTTTCTATTACATGTGTGTTTACCCACATTGCGCGCTTCCCGTTATAGGAGAGGATGAGTGCCAATGGAGCTGTTTCTGACCACGATATTCCCCCCTTGTTAACATGGTGCAACAGTGTCTTGTTGTTGTAAAGTACCAAAAAAATCACTATTGCAAATACTTGATCCAAAATTGAGGTTTGGGGTTTAAATAGTGTATATGAAATCACTTAAAACGCTTTATAGGCACCTATCGTATCGGAGAATATAAATGACACTATAAAAATACCTTGATTGTTGAGTTGTTGATTTTTCAGTCTGGTAACAGATCCCTGCATTCGTATTCCCTTTGTTGGTTTATTTAATGAATGGTAAAAGTAGCATGTACTAAGCTATATATGAACATGATACCAATATACCATTTATTTTTATGTCTGGTAATATTATCATCAACCAATACAAGTTCAGTGACATCGGTTTTTCTCAAAAGCTTTGTTGCAATTGACTTGCATTTTGTAACTTGGTACAGACAAATGTGTCATTGACGATATGGTATTGCAGTTATACTTATAACTAATTAATACAATCACTTTAACAACACATAGTTACAATAATTCTGGAGCAACGTTTTGATTTAATTTAAGAATAGGATATAAGAATATAAGAAATTGTCAAAAGGTATTTTCTCACCAGATGAACGTGTGCATTTAATGTTTTTTTCGCATAAAACTTCAGTGTCACTATTACAGCACTTAATTTTACATTGACCCTCAACCAAAATCTTTTCACAAGATGAAGAGGAAAGCAGCTTGGCAAAATTATTCCCGTTCCAGCTTATCATACATTTAGATTCATCTGAATCACTGAAACATCCTGTAAGAATTGAAATATGATAATTAATTATCCACATCAGAAACATACTTATCACACTTTACATGTTTTAGTACTTTATGGAAACCTGCTGTCTACAATGTAGCAGGAGTGTTTATCTAAGAAGCCCCCAAGTAATGTTATTCAAAGGTCGAAAGTGCCAGCTAAATAGTGTATTATTACATGTATCAGATTTAGTTGTTGTCTTTGTGTATATGTAGTTTCTGTTCGGGTTCAGTGAGATGATGTCGTGCGCTAGTTTTGACTTTGATTGATTAGATCAATTCATTTTGGATTATTATACCTCTGCTTTATTTACTCTATATAAAAGTAATTGATTAATCACTCAAGGCAAGTTTCGCCTGTACATGTGATCTCCGACACTTGGTCTTACATAAACATTAGATAATACTTTTAATTATTGATACAACCCTACTAACTAATCGCGGAAATATTTTCACAAATATTATGTCTGTCGAAACAAATAAGTCCACTTCTATACTTGTTCTATGTACTCGAGCGAGTTCAAGTACTAAACGGGTTAACTGATTTCAATCTCTGTATTACATATTTAGGTTGACGTTATTGTGTATTATAGGGTACGCCCCTGCATTAGTTACGAGTTTTTATACATTGTAGCAAAACAGCAATATAATTACTTTGAATCAGAAGTCATAGAAATTGAGAGACAAGGTATAACGTACTTGTTAATATATTGCCTTGGGAAGTCGTAATGTCCAATTCACGATGCAGTGAACAAATGCAATCATGGTCGTTCCCAGCGTATTTGACATCTTCGTCAGTATTGCAACTAAAATTATAGGTTCCGGTTTTTGCGGGAGATGACTGTTTTGTATACACGAGAGCCCCAAAACATGTAAACTCGTCACTGCTACCCGATTTTTCATTATCTAGAAACACAAACAAAACAAGATATAGTATATCTGCAAATTTAGAACAAATAAAATATATTCCTGTTGTACAAGAATGACACATCTCAAATCTCAAAAAGGTAAGGGGAGTGGTTGAAAGGTAGAGACAGCGGGGAAAAGTGACAAGTTGATTGGAGACTTGCCAAAAAATCTCTATTTTGGTACTCATTCACAGAATAATGATGAATATTCCTTATGGAATAATTTCTATTTGGCACCTGAATCATTTATGAAATCACGGCAATTTAAAATAACCGGTAGATACTTACCTTTCTTACACAATTTCATAGCCAAAGTTCCAGGGAAGTTACAAGAGATCAATTCGTTATAACTCGCAGGCGAATCTAAAGAAATGTAATAATTTGGTTAAAGCCTAGTTACAATTAAGTCACTATCACATTTGTTATCAACATGTAGTTATTTAGTTAAACAATGCAAAAAAGACAATCCATACATACACCCCTTGATTTCAGGGGGTATCCGACATCATTTACAACTACATGATCTAGACCGTGGTGAAAACTTCCATCTAGCTCCACAATTCATTCCAACCCTGGAGAAGACTGACAGATTACATATTTTCAGCTACTCATTTTCTAAACATCAATACAGCAAATACCTAAATTCCCCAACAAATCCTATTAAGTCAGCACCTGTTATAACAAATCAATCTCTTTTGCGACCCAACTGAATGCTACGAAATGCACTGCTATTTAAAGTTTATTTACATACTTAAATCATGCGGAGCTTAACTATTCTTTAATTAGGTGTGAAGAGGCATACCGTCCTCAACAGTAGATGATTGTGTCTATGGGATGAACAAAAATCATAGTAAAACATATTTGTATATAACCATGACATCTGACCATAAACACTACACGAACGTCATATATTGAAGTGTCATTTTTTAACATTTAATATTGTTATAAAGAAGCTAGACATGTTATAAACATTATCGTACTTTTCAGTTTCAATGTTTATTACATGTTTAGCGCATTCGTAACATTACAAAATGTTATCAAAGTTCCGATTTTTAATTGAGGTATTTCAATATGACACATCAAGGGGTTGAAGTGAGGGTGACTTATGTGGCTTGTTTAACTTAAAATCTCACGTGCCGTCAAAGATGCTACTTTGACCAATGTGCAAGAAAACACCCATGTTTCCCCTTCTTTGAATGCGTTTTTGACACACAGCGCATGCAGGTACCAATTCTAATGATGTTGACCTTCATCCTGTATCATATGATAAAACTTATATCCTGTTCTCAAAAAAGGTTACTGTTATGGGCTGTTACCGAAATATAGAAGAAAAAAAATTCGTCCAAATATTTTATCAGGTTATTGCATTCCATCTTGAATACATATGAAATGTTGACAGTCCGATAACAGCTTGCTGTATATCAAACAGTTTGTTTGGTAATCGCAAGGTCGGTAGTTCTAACCCGAAGCCCAGAGAATAATGTTTTGCTTTTTATTATCCCAGATATTTATTAGAGTTTATTTTTAAATAATCAATAAAAATTCTTGTTTAGTTCTTCATTTCGTGTTGTATATGTTTGAGATGAGGGGAACGTATATTGAAATTCAGAACAATAACCTGAAAAAAAGTATCATCAATTCACCGCGTTGCTGTATACTACAGTTGTGAGACCGCACCACGCACCAAAAATAGCGTGCGCACACCGTGCATACATCGTTCACACACCGTCCGCACATCGTCCACACATGGTGCGCACAACTTTGCGATTTAGCAATCGTTCGCCCCGTTGTGCGATTCTCTCCGCACAACTGTGCGATTTGGTATCATTTGAAGATCAAAATTACGGAACTACAAAAATACGGAAAGCTTGTATACGATAATGTACACTGTGTATATATCTGTAATTTCTCATCACAATAATCAAGATTACACAATTTCACAATGCGTGTTACACAGTATTACAGCGACCGTAAGGCTGTCAAGAATGGGCTGGGTTTGGCTCCAAGGTAACAGAACAGGTAAATAACAATTTTATGAGTGTCCGGAGTTTTACCTGACCAGTGCCTGACACACAGAGCTGATATGCGATACCGTTTGACCGTAATGAATAGTATTTGTTATTTGCATTCGTTTGCCTATGGCTCCCCTTCACCTGGATTTTCACACCCCCGGCCTTACCCGACGAGTTACGTAAGTGCCCCAGGCGGGGAGAAAACTACGGTCCAGGTACATGTACAAAGTGGTTATGTTTACCTGTATACGGGATTGTGTTGTAATTTTCATGTGACGATTAAGTTTGTTTAAAAACACAGAAAACACAATTTCTAAATATAAGAATGTATAGACAGAAAGATAATTATATAAGTTTATAGATGTTGCTAGAATATAGAAACATACGTAGACATCAAGTTTATATGTTTAAACACAAAACCGTATAAATTGTTAAGGCATTCCTCAATTTACACCAACCACGATTGTTATCGCACAGCGTCCGTCCATTGTGCGCACAGATGTGCGCAAGCAATGATCGTCCAGCTTTTTATCGTTCGCCCATCGTGCACACATCGTGCGCACACCGCACATCGTGTAACGTTGTGCGATCCCACAACTGTATTTAGAGGTAAAGATGCCACGTGTACGTAAGCTCTAACACTTTTGAGTTAAAGCACATTGCATATTATTAGTCGTATTTATCTATTTTTTAGATTCAATATACAAACAAAAAGTAACTTGTGTACTACTGTCGATATGACCTGAACATGTTAAATGTTCCTTAATTAAAGTAGACCAGGCATAAAAAGTAAATAACTTCTTAATGGAATTAGTTTTGTTAAATACAATGTTACATGATTGGAAACAATTTCTTCTGTTTTTTATCAGTAGACTTTGAATCAGTGTTGCACATAAGTAATCTTATGAATATGTTAAAAACCTTTCAAATTATTTATTTACATAATTTAATGTTTCAAACACCAATTGACCTATCGAATTGGTGTTTATTGAATTGATATTTTATTGTCATTTTTCAGCAGAATTTCCCTGCAATATTCATAATATCGTGATCAACTCATTATCGGAGCGTTGACCGAGTTATCATAGAAGAAATGAAGTTAGAAAGCCTACCCATGATAGCCTCATTTATATCGTAAAGGGCACAACTGCATCAGTTGTAATCGCAAACATGAGCCTTCTGCAAAGTTCTGTTTTTCTATTTAAGGTATGCTCCGATATTTGTTGAAGATTTGACATTATCAATGAGTTTGAAGAGTTTAATTTGTTTAATTTTTTATTTTAATCCTTTGCATTAATATTCCTAAGCAGTGACATTGACAATCGTAGGATCGGCAGTGTATGGTTCCTTAGTGTGACTCCTTTATATTTGGCTACTATTCCTTAACTTTGTTCTGAATTCTCGAATATCCTTCTTTAATTTCAGAGTCGGAAAGGGGAGGCAATATGATACAAAGTTATGACAATCCTTATCATTTAAGCGGAAACATCGTCAAGTAATTAGAATGGAAAATAAATGATTTGGTAAATTATTATTTGTAAAACACAAATATATGAAAAACTGTCTTAAAACAGTACACGCTTTACGTCCTTACTGAACTGTGGTAACACACACAATAACTCACATTCGTGCACACCATGCCCCAAACTCCTTTCTCTGCTCATGTACGCATTAACATTGTAAACATGGAAGTAAACACTATTTCACAAAGAAGGTCAATTATATACCACATTATCTAAACATTACTTACTTGTCTCTTCTCACTGCTCTTAATATTTGTCTCCGAGTTAATCTGATGTTGAAAGACACTTTCAGGTCGATTTTGTTGTTGATCGTAGTAGGCTAGAAAGCTTCTTACCAGGAATTCCGAAGCGGGAGTGAATTTACTTTACCCGAAACCCTATAAATAACCTTCGTAATTTGACCTGCAGCGGCTGTGAAGTCGGCACCTTAGCGTGACGACACTGGGATGCCTTGTGTATAAATTGTAAAGCTATTTACTTTAAAACGCATAGGGTTTTTCCCAATAAATGCTTTGCATAGTCACTAGAAAGTTTCATTAGCATATTTTTTTTAGTGTTACTGATTTAATAAATAGAAATTTGGTAAATATATAAATCTTTAATCAAAGTAATATTTCCTATACTTTTTCACAATATATGCTCGAATTTATAAAACACCTCAATATATACAGTCAAGCCACACGAATATGGATAGTAAAACTATACACACACGATTTGTGTCGCGCCGGCTGAGTATACGTTAACACATATTGCTCTCTCTCTCTCTCTCTCTCTCTCTCTCTCTCTCTCTCTCTCTCTCTCTCTCTCTCTCTCTCTTGAATCACGAAACACATAATTATGAATATTTATCAATACACATATGCAAAATACAATGTGAAGTCAGCATCATTTCAAATTAATGTTATTGTAAAAAACGTAAAATTATAATAGGCACAGACATCATCTATTTAAGTCTTTTCTAGATGGGAAGACATACAATGCAGATATTCATTTATTCAGTATATACAAAGTAGATATACGTAAATACAGAAAACTAGAAATAGTTAGCTGAGATTTTAATACATGTACACAGAGATTAATTATTAGAATAACAGAGATTTTAACAGATAAGGTCGAATGTTTGATTAGAGGCACACCAAAGTCACTGTCGCTACACACAGTGTCATTTTAACCGATTACATCAGATCTGTATTAATAAAAACGTCAATAAAAGTAAGATAGTTTACAGCATGGAAAAAAATCCAGATATTTCAACATATGCCAGGACACCAGAGAGAATATATTTATGTGATTTTATGCTTATGTTTATATCTCCCATTGTATTAGTATCTAATATGATATCATCAATTTCGTTAGATAATAAATAAAACTTGCCTACTGAGGCCTACTAAGGCAATTGATGAAGAAGTGGCTTGTAAGATGACCATTCTATCTTCTATGATTCTGAGTTCCGCAGACTGATGGTTGACACAATATAATATGCAATATCTGGGAGTCACCATATTTAAAAACTATCCGTACAGTTTAATGGTTGTAAGATGTATGTGCTTTGCTTAAATAATATCCTGATATAACTATCTCAGTGAAATGAGTTTTGGAAAAACCAGCACTAACTGAGCGGTTGAAATGATTACACTGATGGAAACCATACGATATACCCTATGCACTGGGTGAACTGAGCGTGCGTGACTGAACATAACTGCTGGAAGTTTCTTTATAGGTAGATTGCTATCTAAAGTAAACTGTCAGCTTGTAAACTGGTATTTCATACTCGTATTACGTTCTGCAATGTTTATAGATACATCAAGGATATGTTAATTTGTAATACGCGGTAAGTGAAATTTTATCTTAATGTATTTGTTTGAAATGTGTAAGTTTTCCCTGTCGATTTGTTTTTCAGGAAGTGTTCCGAAACGCTTGATTTAAAGAATAACCCTGCATATGAGTTGTCACGGAGGAGAGATATGTGCTTCCATATAATATAGGTTAGGTATGTCAAACAGTTTAATCGGGGTCTGAAAATAGATGCACGCGATTGATTGAAACGTTTTAAGTCCGCTTCACTACCGAGTAGATGTTTTGACCGGGGCTGATTAACATACTGAAAGAAACAACTGGCCGAAGTATTACTAGGATTACGCAGGTGGCTGTATTATGTTAGAGGAAAAAGGTGACAGTATAATCTAACAGAAACAAAAGCAGCTGGATATTAATTGGGAACAAAACAAATAGAAGTGGAATATCGAAGCAGCATTGTAAATTATTACATTTAATTTGATCCTTCTTACATGTTGATATATTAAGACCAACAATTTTCATATTACTCTACACTAAGTTACAAGAGTTTGAATAATAATTTGTCCGCTTTAATACAGGGATAGAAGTATTGGCGTTCATTAAAGATCCATTGTACCTCATACGTCGATAGAGGATAATTCCGAGGACGACAGCTAACACCAGAATACCAATGGCCGCTACAACACCAAGGGCGATAACTGTCGTATTCTCACCATGCGGCTGAGGTGTAGTTTGCTGTTCATCAGAACTAGGGTCAAAAAGGCAAACGTATTTCCATTTTCAGTGGTAACCGTTAAATAGCAATATATTGTGAAAAAAATGACTCCGACGTGTATTTTGCTGAATAAGAATGAGTACGAACATCATTTTTATCTCAAATTGTCATGACTGCACCCGATACTTACTTATGAAATCTATTGATTTATTTAGAGATAATCCGTTCCTTATCAATCATGTTTAAATTTCTAATTGACGATGATCATTATAAAAAGTTAACATGACAATGTTACACAGTTAAGACGTTTAACCATCCACGTACATGTACTATTGTTATGTATATTTCATAGACAGAACAGTATTACATTGTAAATAACAAAACTGTATATACATGGGACATACGTTTTTTTTACGATTTTCGTTAAGATTTTGGGAGACCTTCTTAGACACAGTCTCTGCGGATTAGTTCCGTTCCAGGGTTATCAATTGATATGTAATTGTCATGTAACTTTTCCACTGCCGTCCTGGTAAACGACAAGATATCTGAATATTAAAGGTGACATAAGCCTAATGTAGTATCCAGTTCAGCGCATTGTGGTGTTTAGGTATGCGTATATTTCTATTCCACGCATTTTCTGTCTTTGTTCAGTAATATTTCTCAAAATATAATTTAGATTGATAAACGACCATGTAACATCATCGAAATGATATTGTCACAACATCACGTGAGTTTAACCAAATAACGTTTAAGTCAAATTAATAGATTTGAGTACTGTTAAGTAAAACAAAACAAATCTGCAAAAACAAGTGTAAGATCTCTTCCGCTATTTTGATTTTTTTTAAACTGTAAACGCGACGTCATTTGCATTTAGTAATCACAATTGCAAAAAAATACCTTTTCAAAAGTAAAACCATTAAAAGGAGTATATAAATGTGTCATTTAATCCTACTTAGGAGGGGATTTTCCCAAAAGGTCACTTATTATGTCTTTCTGAACTTGGACTACGTGTGTCAATCAAACGCAGTATTGCATAACTCATACTATATAACGGAGAAATGTAGTTATTATTAAACATTTTATGCTGATATTTAAGCGTATCACTTCGGTCTACTGAGATTCGAAGGTTATTTATAGATCTAAAAAGCCCAACACACATTTTACCAAGTGCATTAAAAAGGGAAAATCGATTGTATATAAAACAATTGGCCCAGGAGATTTATACCGTCCTGAAATGAGCAGGTTGAGACCTATATCCGATATGTTGTCGTAGGGGTATATAGTTCTAATATGGAAGTATCCTCAGTGGCTAGTGTGTATTTAGTCGAGGTCACGAGTGCAGGTCCCCGGAAAGTGAATTGAGAACTTTATCTTTTTTTTAGTTCATACTGTGAGCTGTCTTCTGTTTTCAAATGCTTCTACGTAGAAATCAGATTCACTGCCTTGTACAACTGCAATATCTTCTGATTAAATGCAGCTGGAATGTCAGGAGAGAAAACAGAAGGACTGTCAGACCAAACAAAAACAACACGTATTTACAATAGCATCATATTTCACAATCGTGACGAAGCAGGAAGTGTTTGTGTAAACGTGTGCTAGGCTCTATGCAATATTTTACGGTCTGTTAGTTTATATATTGTTTGTGTAAACGTGTGCTAGGCTCTGTGCACTATTTTACGGTCTGTTAGTTTATATATTATTTGTGAAAACGTGTGCTAGGCTCTGTGCACTATTTTACGGTCTGTTAGTTTATATATTATTTGTGAAAACGTGTGCTAGGCTCTGTGCACTATTTTACGGTCTGTTAGTTTATATATTATTTGTGAAAACGTGTGCTAGGCTCTGTGCACTATTTTACGGTCTGTTAATTTATACATTGTTTGTGTAAACGTGTGCTAGGCTCTGTGCAATATTTTACGGTCTGTTAGTTTATAATTGTTTGTGTAAACGTGTGCTAGGCTCTGTGCAATATTTTACGGTCTGTTAGTTTATATATTGTTTGCGTAAACGTGTGCTAGGCTCTGTGCAATATTTGACGGTCTGTTAGTTTATATATTGTTTGTGTAAACGTGTGCTAGGCTCTGTGCAATATTTTACGGTCTGTTAGTTTATAATTGTTTGTGTAAACGTGTGCTAGGCTCTGTGCACTATTTGACGGTCTGTTAGTTTATACATTGTTTGTGTAAACGTGTGCTAGCCTCTGTGCAATATTTGACGGTCTGTTAGTTTATATATTGTTTGTGTAAACGTGTGCTAGGCTCTGTGCAATATTTTACGGTCTGTTAGTTTATAATTGTGTGTGTAAACGTGTGCTAGGCTCTGTGCACTATTTTACGGTCTGTTAGTTTATATATTATTTGTGTAAACGTGTGCTAGGCTCTGTGCACTATTTTACGGTCTGATAGTTTATACATTACACTACCTATGTTTGATCTAAATTTCTGTTTTGTCCAACAGGTCGTGTTGATTGCGTCATATACGAGCGTGCAAGGTATAAACCAGTGTACAATTCCTTGTAAACATTTTACAATCTGATCTGTTTACGATGAAAAATGATTAGCTTATCTTATCATTGTTTGTATAGAATCTGTATTTCTTCAGGTAATTATGCTATCTGTTTTATGCGTTATGTCTCATAAACATTAAGATTATATCAACACACAGGGTTTTCTCCCGAAGATATTTTAAACATACGCTGCTTTTTCACGTACCACAGCTTCTTCAGCTTCATATCGTGATCTGACAATATTGGTTACCACATTCCAAAACTGTAAGACAACTTTAAATTTCACCATATTTAATTTTTACTCGACAGCATTCTAC